TGGTTTCCCTTTTTCCAGGAGATACTCCAGGAAATTTGGGGTGGGATCCCCCTTTTCCTGGAAATCCTACAGGAAATTTGGGGTGGAATCCCCTTTTTCCAGGAAATCCTACAGGAAATTTGGGGTGGGATCCCCTTTTTCCAGGAAATCCTACAAAATTTGGGGTGGGATCCCCCTTTTCCTGGAAATCCTACAATAAACAAGGTTCACAAACCCTTTATTTACCCTATAAACGATTTGTGGGATCCCTTTTCCCAGAAAATCCTAAAATAAAGTTTATGGGATCCAGTTTTCCCGAAGATCCCACAAAATTCATTCCCAGCTCACCCCAAACCCCATTTGGATTTATAGGGTTGGGAAGGAGCTGCTCTCCCTTTCCCCGGAGGTTTTTGGGATCAGGTTTTTGGGATCAGGTTTTTGGGATCAGGTTTTGGGATCAGGTTTTTGGGATCAGGTTTTTGGGATCAGGTTTTGGGATCAGGTTTATAGGGTTGGGAAGGATCCGCTCTCCTTTCCCCGGAGGTTTTTGGGATCAGGTTTTTGGGATCAGGTTTATAGGGTTGGGAAGGATCCGCTCTCCTTTTCCCAGAGCATTTTTTGGGATCAGGTTTTGGGATCAGGTTTATAGGATTGGGAAGGAGCTGCTCTCCCTTTCCCCAGAGGTTTTTGGGATCAGGTTTATAGGGTTGGGAAGGATCCACTCTCCTTTCCCCGGAGGTTTTTGGGATCAGGTTTTGGGATCAGGTTTTGGGATCAGGTTTATAGGGTTGGGAAGGATCCGCTCTCCTTTCCCCGGAGGTTTTGGGGTCGGCGGGGCCCCGCGGGCCGGGGCGGGGCCCCGGTTCCCGATAAGGGCCGGGACTGGGATCCGCCCCTCGCGGCCCCAATAAAGCGCTGATCTCATGCCCTGAGCGGCCCCACAGCTTTGGGATCGCTTTGGGATCGGCCCCGGGCTCCGGGATCGCTTCGGGATCGGCCCCGGCTTTTGGGATCGGCCCCGCCCTTTGGGATCCCCTCTGGGATCGCCTTTAGGATCCGGCCCTTGGGATCGGCCCCAGGTACGGCCCCGCTGTCCCCGCCGTGTCCCCAAGGGGGTGGCGGCGGTGTCACCTCCCCCCGGTCCCGCCCCACAGATTTTGGGATTTGGGAGATCCCGGAGCCGCTTCCCAAAGGAATTCCCACGCTCCGAGGGGGGCGGGGCGGGGCAGGTGCGTCCCCACCTTGGGGACACGGCGGGGTGGCGTTTGTGGGGCGGCGACATTTGGGGACACGGCGGGGTGGCGTTTGTGGGGCGGCGACATTTGGGGACACGGCGGGGTGGCTTCTGTGGGG